ACCAACACCTCCACCTCCAAGAATGCACACACCACTGACCCACACCCAGGATATCAGCAGGACCACTAACATCTTTAATCATTCCCACCTAGGATAGAGAAGGGCTGACCACATCTATAGTCATCTATCAATTTAGGATATGGAAGGACATCTATAGCTCCATGAAGTCAGCAATATCAATAGAATATATGGCTCCACCTAGGATAGCCACACACTACTGATCTAGGATAAGGCCACTCAACATCTAATGGAATGCCCCACCTAGGATAGTCAGTGAAAATCACCAATGATCTAATGACCTAGGATATAGTCAAAATAATCAATATCTATCTATGGATAAAATAATCAACATCTAATGCCATATCTAATCTATGATATGAGTCGACAAGAGAAATAATCAACATCTAATGATATGAAATCAAAATAATCAATGACTAATCGATAAGAAATGACCAACATTAATGCCATCTATGATATAGTCATATAAAATAATCAATCAATCGCCATATTCCAATCTATAGATGAAATACCGATCATCCAACCATGACCGACCAATCACCAACCCATGAAAACACCAACACCAAGCATCAGCTAAGGCAAAACCACGCCACCAACACCAACGCCACCCAGGACAAGCAGTCACCACACTGACAAGGAAACAGTGGCCACTACTTAATGTGTGCCTCCAGGAGGCAAGTGAAGGCAGTGGGGAATGAAGACACAAATACAGAATAGCACAGGAAGGAAGGAAGACATGGATGGAAATGACGACAAGAATACAAATACGGAAGGAAGAAATACATACAAAGGAAGAAGAAAATAGAAGAAATAGAAGGAAGAAGAAGAAGGAAGGAATGGAAGAAGACAGAAGAAGAAGGAAGGAAGAAGGAAGGAAGGAAGGAAGGAAGGAAGAATGAAGGAATGAAGAAATATGGAAGAAGGAAGGAAGGAAGAAGAAGAAGAAGGAATGGAGGAGGAAGGACAGGAAGAAAAGGATACGGAGGTGGAAGAAAGAATGAAGGAATGGAAGAAGAAGAAAGGAAGGAAGGAAGGAAGGGAAGGAAACACAAACAGGAAGGAATGGTGGAAAACAACAAATGGCAGGATAAATAAATGCACACAACACGAATGCCATAAGCCCACCAGGATGGAAGGAACAACAGTGGAAGCCTACCAGGATAAAGTAGCCAGGAGTGAAATACCAACACTAATGCCATGAAGCCACCCAGGATGGGTGAAGTCAAAGGTGTGGAAATACACACAATGGTGGAAGGAAATGGTGGATAAGGAAGGGCCACAACACCACCAGCCCACCCATGGATAAGAATGTCAGCAGGCAAAACACCAACACTTCTATGCCCATGTACCCACCCAGGATAAGTATCAGCATGCAAACAATCCATTATCTAATGCCATGTACCCACCCAGGATGAACAAAGAGTGTAAACACCAATGACTAATGCCAGCCCACCCAGGATAAGAAATCAGTGTGAAACACCACTGAATGTCACAGCCCACCCAGGATATGAATCAATTGATCAATCACATGTGCCCACCCAGGATAAGAGTCATATGTAAAACAACCAACTAACGCCACAAAACCCAGGACAAGAAACAAACACCAACAGAATGCCACAAATCCAGGATAAGACAACAGGCACACTAACACTAATGTCATGCTCCAATCTAGGAGGTCACACCACTCCACTAAGGCCCCTAATTCCAGGATGGTGAAGGAATACCACACTTATCAAGCATGTGGCCTACTCCCAGGATATGAAGTCAGCAGGCACACTAACATCTACACTGCTACAGCCACTCCAGGATAGTGAAGGAATAACACTCCACTGATCTAATGCTATGTGTCCCACTCCTAGGATAAGAATAATTACTCAATATCTTTAATGCTCACAGTCCACCCAGGATATGAAGTCAGCAGTGTGGAATACTCACACTCCACAGCCCACTAGGATATGAAGTCAGTAGAAACACTAACACTAATGCCATGTGGCCCACCCAGGATAGTCAGTGTAAACACCACCATCTACTCTGCCCACCCAGGAGAGTCATAAAATTAATCTATCTAATGCCATAGCCCACCCAGGATACAGTCATGCACACTAACATCTAATGCCATATGGCCCACCTATGGATAAGACAAGGAACACTCATCAGGACTGTCACAGGCCCAGAGGATAAGAATGACCACCCACCCAGGATAAGTCAGCAGGCAAAATCAATCAACATCTCACAGGCCCACCCAGGACAAGTAGTCAGCAGTGTAATCACCAACATAATGCCATGTATTCACCTGAGATAAGTGAGTCAAAATAATTCAATCATCTAATGTCATGGCCCGACCCATGATAAGCAATGACTAATGCCATGTGGCCCACCCAGGATAAGAGTCAAGTAAAATACTAACATCATGATGAGAAGAACACTCAACACTTGACCCATGGCCCACCCAGGATATGCACACCAACATCTGACATCCCAACCCAGGACAAGACACACTGACCAATGATCAATGCATCCCAACCCAGTGGATAGAAATCATAAAATCATCTATGGCCCACCCAGGATATCGAAAGAAACACCACCAGCCCACCCAGGATATAGTCAATGACTAATGCCATGTATCTAACCCAGGATATGAATGACTGACCATGGGCCCAATGGATATGACAATCAGGGACCATCTAATCAGACCACACTGACCCAGGACCACAGACACACACGAAGGAAGACAGACCAGACAGAAAGACACACACACACAGACAGAGACACACACACAGATAAGGAACACAAGACCACAGACAAGGAAGCCACACACAACACGAAAAGGCACGAAAGGAGGAATACACAGAACACACACACACACACACACACAGACCCCAGGAAATACACACACACAGGAGGAAGGAACACACAGACACACAGGATAAGGAATAGAACACACACACGGAGGGTGAAGCCACAGGTACACACACAAGGAATGGAGGAAGAAGAACACACACACACAGTGGAGGAAATAAAAGTGAACACACACCACACGAGGATAAAGAATGAAAACACACACACAATGAGATAAAGAAATAAAGAAAAATAATGCACAATGAAAGGAGGGTGAAATAAATAATAACACGAAAGGAAAATGGAGGAAGGAAAATAATAGAAGGAAGATGGTGAATAAATAATAATAGCCATGGTAATGGAAGGAAGGAATGGAAGAAGAATACACAGAAAATGAAGGAAGAATAAGGAACACACAATGGAACAAAAGGAATGGAAGGAAGGGGTATATGGAATGGACAAACAGGAAGAAGGGAAGGAAGGAAGACAGGAAGGAAGATGAAGGAAGAAGGGAAGGATGGAAGGAATGGAAGGATAAGTGAAGTCAGCAGTGTAAAATACCAACACTAATGCCATGTGGCCTACCCAGGATAAGTAGTCAGCAGGTGTAAAATACCAACACTGATGCCATGTGCCTACACCAGGATAAGTAGTCAGCAGTGTAAAAATGCCAACACTAATGCCATGTGCCTACCCAGGATAAGTAGTCAGCAGTGTAAAATACCAACACTAATGCCATATTGCCTACCCAGGATAAGTAGTCAGCAGTGTAAAATACCAACACTAATGCATGTGCGCCTACCCAGGATAAGTAGTCAGCAGTGTAAAATACCAACACTAATGCCATGTGCCTACCCAGGATAAGTAGTCAGCAGTGTAAAATACCAACACTAATGTCATGTGCCTACCCAGGATAAGTAGTCAGCAGTGTAAAATACCAACACTAATGCCATGTGCCTACCCAGGATAAGTAGTCAGCAGTGTAAAATACCAACACTAATGCCATGTGCCTACCCAGGATAAGAAGTCAGCAGTGTAAAATACCAGCACTAATGTCATGTGCCTACCCAGGATAAGTAGTCAGCAGTGTAAAATACCAACAGTAATGCCATGTGCCTACCCAGGATAAAGTAGTCAGCAGTGTACAATACCAACACTAATGTCATGTGCCTACCCAGGATAAGTAGTCAGCAGTGTAAAATACCAACAGTAATGCCATGTGCCTGCACCCAGGATAAGTAGTCAGCAGTGTAAAATACCAACACTAATGCCATGTGCCCTACCCAGGATAAGTAGTCAGCAGTGTAAAATACCAACACTAATGTCATGTGCCTACCCAGGATAAGTAGTCAGCAGTGTAAAATACCAACACTAATGCCATGTGCCTACCCAGGATAAGTAGAAGTCAGCAGTGTACAATACCAACACTAATGCCATGTGCCTACCCAGGATAAGTAGTCAGCAGTGTAAAATACCAACACTAATGCCATGTGCCTACCCAGGATAAGTAGTCAGCAGTGTAAAATACCAACACTAATGCCATGTGCCTACCCAGGATAAGTAGTCAGCAAGTGTAAAATACCAACACTAATGCCATGTGCCCACTCAGGATAAGTAGTCAGCAGTGTAAAAATACCAATGCTAATGTCATGTGCCTACCCAGGATAAGTAGTCAGCAGAGTAAAATACCAACACTAATGCCATGTGCCTACCCAGGATAAGTAGTCAGCAGTGTAAAATACCAACAGTAATGTCATGTGCCTACCCAGGATAAGTAGTCAGCAGAGTAAAATCCCTTTTTGGGGGAAAGTCCAAAATAGTGAGTGAGTATGGTTTACGCTTTTAGCAATATTCTAGCAATATTATGCATGGGATACCATGTGGGGAATCAAACCCAGGTCTTTGGTGTGATGAGAGCGAACGCTTTAATCACTTTAGGCTACCCACAGCCCTGTCCAAAATAGATGTGATCCACATGAGTTGCTCTGGGTGAAGAGATCATTCTCTGGAAAATAAGACTCCTGGAGAGTCAATCTGCTAGGGACATTCAATTTCAATGGTACTCATTTATCATTAACTGGTGAAAAACTTTTCAAAACCCCTGATTGTGACTTGGATACACACTGATACTGCAGCAGCCCTGGTCAACTCACATTAGGGTTAGTCATGTCCGTTAACTGTGTCCACTTTTCCAGGAGTTCTGTCAAGAACTCTTTGGTCGAATGCATAATACCCATGCTGGATTGGCGATGAAGAGTCGAAGAATCACTCCACCGACAATGAGCTCCCCCTCAACATCTGTATAAACCACTGCAAAGTCCTCTTTCAAGTTCCATTTTGTGTCTGCATCTTTCTCTTTGGAGGCTTTGTAATGCCTGTTGTTTCTCAGCAAACAAAAGATGTAACATTAATATGCAAAACGTTTTCACTTCTTTTCTAGGTATAAAGATACTCCTGCGTAACATGAATACCTGAAGGGTACCCCCTGCGTAACATGAATACATGAAAGGTGTGATTACACAGACATGATACAAGTATGGCCCCAGGTTTCATTCATGTAAGTTTCAGTCACAATTCTTTTAAAATCTGTGGTTACATTAGTACGTGTCCTATTTTCTTGTGTATGTATTTTAATGTCATATATTCTCTTTATTCAAATTTTAGTGCTGATCAACTGTGCAATACAAAATTTCCCTCACGGATAATAGTCTCTTTTCTCATCTCTTATCTTACTATCAAAACACAAACTAATTTGCTGGGTACCATACTTTTATGGGCAACACTTTAAAACTTTCAAGTGTGATATCAGTAGTTTGATGTACTGCATCATACAACTACAAGTACTTTGCTTTTTACATGAAACACTGACCACTTCTAATTACTGAATTACTGAAGTTCAGAAAACTTAAACAGAAAAATGCCATATGCCTTGTAGTACCTATATAAACTGAACAACATTTGAAACGCACCACCCATATAATACAAAATATCCCCATCAGACTGAAATGTACCATGATATCTGAGCATCGTCGGTGCATTATAGTGTGGTAGTGCTTCTAATGTTGTTCAGTATATAATGTGACACACACTTCCCTTTGAATGGTATCACATTGGCTTGGAAACATACACAACATATGCAGAGAAATGTTAAAACAGAAATTCCAAATGTAATGAAACTTTAAAAAAAGTAAGCATCCTGGTTGAGTGAGATTATTTCTATGTGGGTGAAAAGGCATGCCCTATGCAGTGTCACTAAAAGACAAATTTACATCCTCTTTTTATTATTCATAACATCCAAATTTGATGAAGTGAGTTGAGATTTAACCTGTATGTGTGTCTGTGCATGGCTGTTTGTACTGGTCTACACTATTGCGGGTCTAATCATGCCATCCCACTGAGATATGATGTCACAGTCTAACATAAATTCACAGTCTGTAGACTCCCAATCCCCAAGATAATTAGTGCTTGTTATATTCCCATTATGATAAAACAAATATGAGTGTTGTAATGGCTCTTGCAGTAAAGCAGCTGATGTTTGAACTCACAGTAATCTACTCTCCTGACATAGGCTCTATCAACTAGACCATGGAAGCAGTGTCTAAAGTAATCTACTCTCCTGACATAGGCTCTATCAACTAGACCATGGAGGCAGTGTCTAAAGTAATCTACTCTCCTGACATAGGCTCTATCAATAGGCCATTGGAGCAGTGTCTAAAGTAATCTACTCTCCTGACATAGGCTCTATCAACTAGACCATGGAGGCAGTGTCTAAAGTAATCTACTCTCCTGACATAGGCTCTATCAACTAGACCATGGAGGCAGTGTCTAAGAGTCAGAAAAAAATGCATGATAGATATATATCCTTTATTTTCTCCATTATCATAAAAAGCAGTACACAAAATGAACAACATGAAATACAATATAATCAGTCTCTCATAAAGTTCTGATGAACAAGGACATTGCAGATACATGCATACATACTGTATGTACGTGTTACTGGTAAATTGACTATTGGGGACATATATTTACACTACACAGGTGAACGAAATCAGATAGTTTTAAAATTACTTGAATCTAAATCTGAAAGTCTAAATGATCGAGCTCGACATGTGGAGCTTCCACTTGATGTATACAAAATTTCTGCATATTTTTTTCTTGTCCTTGTTTTACAATGCTTTGTCCAAGCAGAAGAAGTCCAGGTATGTTCACATCAGTCATATTTATACTACACAAAAATATGTACTATCCTGTCATATAGGAATAGAGAATCCTGTACATACCCATCCTTGAGTTTGAGCACTGTATCAGACACTTTCTCCCTTGCCTCATCATTCCAAATCAATTCTGGGTTTTCATGAGAACCTACAGGACAAAACAAAACAGGTCATATATTTGAGCATGAATAGATACAAATGCATTTCCAAAATGCTTCTTCTAGCATATGGATATATGCTCATACTGAGAATGAGTGAGTGAGTTTAGTTTTAAGCTGCATTCAGCAATATTCCAGCTATATGGTGGCGGTCTGTACATAATCGAGTCTGGACCAGACAATCCAGTGATCAACAGCATGAGCAATGATCTGCATAATTGGGAACAGATGATGTGTCAACCAAGTCAGCGAGCCTTACCACCCAATCCGTTAATTAAGCCTCTACGACAAGCATAGTCGTCTTTTGTGGCTGGGTTGCTGTAGACCTATTCTACCACGGATCTTCAAGGGTCTGCTCATACTGAGAATACACACTGCCACTTGTCAAAGGTACACAAAGTACGTGATTTGGAAAAAAGTTGTCAAACTTCCATTTTCATGACAGTAATGATGGGTAAATTGGGTAATAGTTGACTTTGTGTGCTGGTACTAAGGTGCCTCACTAAGAGAGTGTGGGTTCGAATCCCAGATGGGACTCAACCCCAAAAGTACTATTATCTGTACTAATCCCAAGTATAACACTTGATTTATGTGCTCGTACTGATGACTTTCATCTTGAGTTATGTTGAGCACATATGCATCACTACTGATTTATCTCTTGGTAACATTCCATTTGTATGGCACTCTTTCCATGGGGAATGTCAAGCCATAAAACTTAAAAGCACATCAGCAGCCCAAGCTTACTGTTCGGTGACTGTTAACAGTCATATTGCCATGTCAGTTTAACAGAGGCACATTTAGAATTCTACTGGATTGTGATTGGTTAATTAAAGTCATTCCTAGGTATATAATCACATTATATACCTCTGAATGAGTGACGGTAAATAGTTCATTTTTACAATCTTAATAGCGCGGTTATGGTAGAATGGAGATAAACATACTGTGTTGGAAAATCAGAGGTACAAAATGTATATAACAAAATTAAAATAGCTTTAAAGTTTATTTTAAATCAAATTTAGAGCTATTATAATTTCATTATATACCTCTGATTTTCCAACACAGAATGTTTATCTCCTAATTAAGTCACTTGTGCATGTAATTGGCCCCATTGTGGCCCCATGTTGCCCCACACAGTAACCCATCCAAGGACTATTATTCACTTGGAATATCCTTATAAAAATAACCAGATTCTCTTGTGACATCTCAAAGAAAGTCAATTTAACCACCAAGCCATCTCGTTTAAAAATAGAACATTCATAAAATTAATGGAAGATATTACCTACAACAAAAGTCATTGATATCCACAGCTCTTTTAGTTATGTGCACAAAATCACACACAAATGAAATATGTGCATAAAATCACAAATACTGAAAACAATAGTTAAGCCTTGTGTTAAAATTCAAAGATTAAAACATTATATCAATGAATAAATGCTGTATTTTAGCTGCCATCTCACTAAAAATATTAAGATTTTCAGAAAAAGTGATCACTAACATCAGCAATGTTATAAAAAATAGTGTTTTGCTTGAATAGGTTATTCCCATGGCATAGATCATGTATTGTCATGTTTTTAATGTCCTGGAGCAGTATTCTGATTTTTTATCACAAATTCTGCAAAGGTAATTAGGTGTGTAAGACTAGAGAGATGTCAAGAGACTGGAGAATCTTCCGGAAAAGAAATATGCCAGGTGGATAAAAAGGAATAATGTTTTATAACAGCTAGCTTATACATTAAAGTTCTAGCCTAAAAGTGAAGTTAACATATTGTAGGTCTAAACATGATGCTATGTTCCGCTTAGCTTATTCTGGTTGTAAAATTCATAGGGATAATTAATAATTCAATTCGAACTTCAAAATTACATTTATCAAGAGTGTAGATTGTATGTGATGTAAAGCCAAATTCTGAGAACAATTAGAGAGGTAATGTTATTTTGATGTGTGTTTGTGACAGATGTGTGTAGAACAAATGTTTTTATATGTTGCATGTCATACACTGTCATATTCCAATGTTTGATAAATGTAACATTTGTTTACACGGTTCTCTTCTTCTCCTTCTATTACTACATCCGCTGAATATATGGATTCACACCCCACAGCAAGTCATGTTTTTGGACATTACTCTATGTTCCAGCTGTTACACATAGGCAATGATAATTAATGTTCAATTACCTTAAATTATGAAAATTTTCCTTACCTTCAAACATGTGGACACTAGCTTCAGGTGAATCCCGCATGGCATCCATGAATATTGCAGGAAGGAACTTGTTCAGAATAATACGGACCTTCGGCCCAATCAGTTTGTCTGCTAACATCTTTGCAAACAGCTCTGCAGTTTTTTCACGAATCTGTGGATGTGTGGCATTACAGAAGAGATCAAGAAGATAGATAAGGGCTCCCTTGGTCATGGATTCCTTCACTACCTTTGTGCTTGACATTAGGGCAAACAGGCTCTCCAGGGTCAATAAACGACCTAACAAGAAGAAAGTACTTGATTTACCAACAAGTTGCACATATATTTTAGAAGTAATGATTCCATCAGAACAAATTCCTCTGTTTTAGGCAACCATATCCACTATTTGGATGCTGGATTGGTACCTATGGAATTATGATGATCTTTTCAAGATGGGGAGTTATCCAGACACCGCTTTCTCAACTGATATATTCTTGGTATGGGATTCTTCCTGTTTAAATCTCAAACTTTTCATCCTGAGAATATTTTCTTCCAAGAATAAATCTACTGATAAAGCTGTGTCAAATGTCTGGATAGCTTCCTATTCTTCTACAAAATTCTACTAACTCTCTGATAGTAAGTCAGAATGTTCTTAGCAACCAGCTTTGAAGGATAAATACTTGCTTGATAAAGGTATTAAAATCTGAACCACTGTGTCTTGTAATATAAGAACCCAATAAAAGTTTAAAACATTAAAGTCACACATGTTTTTACAGTTCAATGCCTATTCAAGACTAATAATTATAAGAGTTTAATTGCTAAGACTAAGACTTGCTAAGAAATGCAGCACGTAACTACACTTGGCAACCTGTCGTCTTCTGTTATACTCACACTGCGGTATGCTCTGTAGAGTAAGGAGGAGGTAGGACAGCACCTCTGCTGCTGCAATGTCATTTACACACTCTTGGCAACCAGTCACACAATTGATCACCTAAAAAACAAGTCACAACATCTTATGTTTGTCCATGAACAAAAGAAATCTTGTCACTACAGCTTTGACATGAAACTGGTGCAACCACACTGCTCACATAGAACATTAAATCATGAAGCAATGATTTTATTAGCCTGTTATGGTAACACAAATTAATAGTGAATGAATTCACAAATTTGGGGGAAAAAAACAAAAATATACCTTGAAATTTTCAATATCATCTATGTCACTAACACTGCTCTTATAATGAGAATAAATAACAGTAACAACAACATAGATTCAGTCATTGTTTTATACAGGCAAAACATTGATCAGTATTTGAATCGCCCCGCTTACGTAAGGATTTGTAAACCTGGCACTGTGTGTAGCATGTTATCCTGGCATGGTGTGTAACATATGTTATCCTGGCATTGTGTGTAACATATGTTATCCTGGCATTGTGTGTAACATGTTATCCTGGCACTGTGTGTAACATATATTATCCTGGCATTGTGTGTAACATATGTTATCCTGGCATTGTGTATTCGTAGCTTCGTCTATGGGAGCATGCCAATTTCCACTTGTTAGGGGATACATAAAGTATGTAGTCTATACCACCAGTTGTCCGACTCCACTTTTTTAGGATACCATAGAGACTGAGTGGGTTAGATCACTAACTTCTGTGCTGCCGATAATGTGTAGGTTGGAATGCCAGATGGGACTCAACACAGAAAAGTTGTAGAGTCTGTACTTTACTTGGAAAGTGTAATTCCAAATATACCATGTGTTATGTTGTAAACCTGGTGTCCATGTACCACATGTACAGTCGCTGAAGCCCAAGGGAGTGGGAGTTTCTTACAAAGTAAGGCCAGCCAGTAAGTTGTAAGTGAAGAAGGTCCAAGATTGTGAGTATTCCTCACAGGGTCTATGAATAATGGATGTCTGCATTTGGAAACTCTCTGAGACAGTCGTGGCAACAACTTCAAGTCGTGTTTGTACAGGGATAGATCAGTTTGTCCAACACATGTGACTTGAGAGGACAGACCATCCAGTATGTTGATGCTTGACAGTCAGGTGATGGGGCATATGCCAAAGGGAGCTACGTGGAACCAGATCTGGCATATATTTGATTCCATAACTCACTGCAGGCTGTCAAAGTTTCTTCGAAATAGATTACATTTGCAGTCTCTCAAGGTTTATAACAGCCAAAGGGTAACAACTGAAAGCTTCTTCCACTGCAAAGATCAGTGTCAGCGCTTCTGCAGGTCTCAATGTTATGTACTACCGGGTATATATAAGTAATCAGTCAGCTAAAGTTAGAGCACTAACTCGCCAAGTGGTAACTGACCGATGTACTTATCTGCCATCCGTGTACAGCCTTCACTTAGTTGTTTCACAAGCTGTATGACTGTAAGGACTGGTCTTGACAATCAAATGGTTTCTGTTGTAAGTTTCCATGGCAAAAATATTTGAAAACTGGCATTTGGACATTTCTTCCAATATACCCAGTTCTTATTTAGATGAAATATGGCTTGTGTGTGAGATAGGTCTAAGATTTACTTATCAAGTTTTGCACCCTTATTCTTTTTTTTTGCATTAATGATGTAAACGTTGATTTAAAGTCTAATTATAAGCATTGCAAAAGACCAAACACACATGACCTCTTTCATAGAAATAGACCAAATGTCATCATTCCATATTTTCAATTCAAAATACCAACAAATAAAACTTTTTGACACATATTTGTGGTAAGTGCCACAAATTCAGATTCAGAGGACGTTAAAGTATTCATCCAATTCTGCAGATAATGTAGCTGTTCTTTGTAAATAAGCTATTGCAGTGATGTAAGGATCCCTGTGCAAGGCATCCACCATTGACTGGTTCGCTTGGTTCGCCGGGGTTATCATATTTGTCACCATGGTATACCTGGACTGGGTAGAAGCCACAACGCCTATCAGTACCTGGCCTGTGTAGAAGCCACAATGCCTATCAGTACCTGGCCTGTGTAAAAGCCATAATGCCTACCAGTACCTGGACTGGGTAGAAGCCACAACGCCTATCAGTACCTGGCCTGTGTAGAAGCCACAATGCCTACCAGTACCTGGCCTGTGTAGAAGCCATAATGCCTACCAGTACCGTACCTGGCCTGTGTAGAAGCCACAACGCCTATCAGTACCTGTCCTGTGTAGAAGCGACTATGCCTACCAGTTCCTGTCCTGTGTAGAAGCCATAACGCCTACCAGTACCTGTCCTGTGCAGAAGCCACAACGCCTTCCAGTACTTGGCCTGTGTAGAAGCCACTACGCCTACCAGTTCCTGTCCTCTGAAAAGCCATAACGCCTACCAGTACCTGTCCTGTGTAGAAGCCACAATGCCTATCAGTACCTGGCCTGTGTAGAAGCCACAATGCCTATCAGTACCTGGCGTCTGAAAAGCCATAACGCCTACCAGTATCTGTCCTGTGTAGAAGCCATAATGCCTACCAGTACCTGTCCTGTGTAGAAGCCACAATGCCTATCAGTACCTGTCCTGTGTAGAAGCCATAACGCCTACCAGTACCTGGCCTGTGTAGAAGCCATAACGCCTACCAGTACCTGTCCTGTGTAGAAGCCACAACGCCTACCAGTACCTGGCCTGTGTAGAAGCCATAACGCCTACCAGTACTTGGCCTGTATAAAAGCCTTAATGCCTACCAGTACCTGGCCGGTGTAAAAACCATAATGCCTACCAGTATCTGGACTGTGTCGAAGCCACTACGCCTACCAGTACCTGGCCTGTGTAGAAGCCACAACGCCTATCAGTACCTGGCCTGTGTAGAAGCCATAATGCCTACCAGTACCTGGCCTGTGGTGAAGCCATAATGCCTACCAGTACCTGTCCTGTGTAGAAGCCACAATGCCTATCAGTACCTGGCCTGTGTAGAAGCCACAATGCCTATCAGTACCTGGCCTGTGTAGAAGCCATAACGCCTACCAGTACCTGGCCTGTGTAGAAGCCACAATGCCTACCAGTATCTGTCCTCTGAAAAGCCATAACACCTACCAGTACCTGTCCTCTGAAAAGCCATAATGCCTACCAGTACCTGGCCTGTGTAGAAGCCATAACGCCTACCATTACTTGTCCTGTGTAGAAGCCACAATGCCTACCAGTACCTGTCCTCTGAAAAGCCATAACGCCTACCAGTACCTGTCCTGTGTAGAAGCCATAATGCCTACCAGTACCTGTCCTGTGTAGAAGCCACAATGCCTATCAGTACCTGTCCTGTGTAGAAGCCATAACGCCTACCAGTACTTGTCCTGTGTAGAAGACATAACGCCTACCAATACCTGGCCTTTTTAACTTATGTCCAGGCAGAAATTTGTTCTCTTGGAATGAGCACCCTCCAGCAGTTTCTGCAAGCCACTTCTTCACCCTAGCCACCAAACTGAGTTCATGTTATCCTGATTGTCTATGACAAAATAAAGTTTATTGTTCAACAGTTCTGTGAATGCTTGAGGCTACGACAGACTTCCTCAAGGTCTCTGACTTTGCTCTGATCTTGGAAAACAAACATGGTCTTTGAGAGATGATAAATTGAGCTCACATCAATGTGCAGACAAAAATGCCAACTGTATTTTGAGGATGGACTCAAGCCCAGTTTTCAAATCCAACCTGATATGATCTATTCTCTACTGGGGTATCCACCCTCATTAATAGGGGGGAAACATGTACCTGCTGCTTGTAACAATGCAACAAACCAATTAATATAGGCTCCAATGTTCATCATGTCTCCATTCATCTGATCCATTTCCTAGATTCTGAAAGTGGGAAGATCTGTCTTGTAGTTTAATTTCTTCACTAACTGATGACTATCCTCATCAGTGCTATGAGTCTGTATGATTTGTGCATCAGTGATGTTGTTATCAATCATAGTAGTAGGCAATCTGTGTTCCTTGGAAATAGGCTCGTCGACACACTGCAGATTGGTGTATGATGGCATGGGTAATACTTGGGGGAAAAAAATGTTTTCTTGTTGATTCAAGTTCACACAGAAAAGAAGGAACATATTCAGCCTTGCCGTGGTGGAGTAGTAGATCAGCTTTGATACTGTTTCCTGCACAACTACTCTTTCAATAGCTGACAGAGTGGAGGACATCTGATGGGAGGAAAGTCAAAACAGAATTTATGGCCAAGAGGTAATAGAGCTAAGGTATTTAAAGGAATTATTGTTTTCAGCTTGCCAATCCATTACTTTGGTTCAGAGCAGTTTGTGCCAAGAGAATGGAAAGAGTTTCTTTGCTGGAAGTCAGACCATAAATATATAGTCTTCCATTGACTTGAATGTCGTCAGTTGTCAACCCCCTCCACATAAGAGAACATGGATTGATCAATACCGTCCTGGACTTAATGGCTGGCTTAGCTGTAGAATATCCATGTGTCTTTTCACTGGACTTCTGTGCAGACTTCCATAAGAATTTATACTTTAAACCCATGGAACCATGTCCTGGTCCACCATTCAGAATGAAACCTTCACAGCCATCTGTGTGCTAGGGTTGATGCAAAACATCCATACTCCCTCTGTGCTGGTATCTGCCTGGACATTTGACTCCTGTATACATGGAACTAATGAGAACTTCCCACAGGTGATATGATCATGTATGTGTTGGTCGAGGGGAAGGTCTCCATACTGGCATATCAAAATGAGAACTACTTCAAAAAAGAATACAAGAATGCCAACTCTTATTCTACAGTATATTAAAATTAGTTGGGACAAAGCAGTGTTCACTAAAAAAAACTGTCCATACCTCAAGAGCAAATTGCTGCAATTTTGCACAGTCATCTAGACGAAGCAGGGCAAACAGAAGTTTGAAGTGTCCGATACACTGAATTTCAACACCTGCAATCAGAAAGTAAATAAACAGTCAAATTACACACTCAATATTTTCTCATATCAATCTGTCAATGAAGACAATGTGATCAAAACCCTATACTTTTGCATTTTAAAAATATCACAAACAATTCAGCAATATTCCAGCTGTATGGTGGGTAATCTACACAAGTACAGTGGTATCACGAAGGGTATATCTGCACTTATGTGTCACAAGGGAGGCATAAAACCAGATATCCCCCTTGTGATACTGCTAAATGTATCTTACTGACATGTTTCAATCGGCCATTGCAAAAGACTTCAAAAGCAAAGGAAACAGCTGTTTACGTGAACTGAGCCTAATTTGCACTGTGTGACTTCCATCAACTCATACACAATGTATAGCTGTTCACTATGTATGTTTTACCTTCCTGCTCAAACTTAAGTTTTCTCCAGGGCAGGTTACATATTTTTCAAGATCACATGAGCCAATCAGCTGCCAACACTGACATGGTGGCTCCTTGAGAGGAGTGACATTACAACTGAACCTGTTACATATAGTTCCATTTTAGATGACAGGTTTCCACACTCTTATTTATTGAACTCTTATTGAACTTCAGACAAAATACTGCATTACTTGTTGATTTATCATGAAACTAAATCTTTTGTTGGAGCATGAAGTGACATAACGAATCGGTACACACACCTCAAGTTTCACGGGTCCATCACACGAGGAAGAACATATCTCTGAAGTCTTACGCCATTACTCGCGATCCGCGTTCGTTTCTTTTCCTTCGTACGGAATGGTACAGTTCCTAGTTTTGGTTGTTCATGTTATGGTTGCCGAATAAACCGCATGGTGTTCGAGAGATCGGTGTTGTATATTGGCGTGGTGGCAGCGGCGTTCTTACTCACGTCAATATTCCAACAAACAGGATTCCAGTGACATCGTTTACCCTCATATCTACACAATCGGTGAGCGACCCTGCACAAACGAGTGTATTTCAAGACGTTTTAGACATATTCATTGGACGTGCACATAACTTCGTGAGTGCTTGCAAATTCGTGACATTATTGAATCAAAATCATGGCTCAAAATCGGGCTCCAAAGCAGTGGCAATTGACCAAACACGAAACCATAAACTCTTTTGAAAACTGGCGACAGAATCTAGTTTATATCTTGTCATTAGATGACGGACTTACTGAAGTCATTTATCAAATACCTTTGTCTCACAACTCCATGAAATATTGTGGGGTTGTCACGCCTTTCAAAGGAATACGGGTGTACACAAGCTGTGCTATGGGGATGCCGGGTTCAGAGGCTTATCTTGAGGAACTGATGTCACGAGTGCTTGGTCATCTTGTTCAGGAAGGATGTGATCAAACTGGCTAATACAAACTTTATGGATAACAACTTCTTTTTATTCGTGAATGCGACGTTTCGCTAAAGATTCTTGTACCGTTGTCAAGCATAATGGAACATGAAGAAGGGGGAAGTGTATATATACTGGATGTAACAATGTAACAAAGAAAACAACATAATTAACATAATTGGCTAGGCAGAAAGCTGATGAAGCCAGAGAGTACACAAAGGACAGGCGTGGAAGCCAATGATGTAAAAATAATAATGAGATGTTTATACAGTAGATTGGGCTTGGTGGATGAGTGCATCATAAGCGGATGGAATGAAGTATCCTTGGTCTCGGTTGATGGTGGGCTTTTGGCGTTTGATGTGGATGGCTTCGGTGAGCTTGCGTTTAGTGAAGTCTGTTTGTTTGTTAGAGAGAATGGTGATGTCAGACCACTCTATTTGATGATTGGGGCTTGCTTTGATGTGGTCGGAAATGGCTGATTTGCTGTTGGAATTGGTAACAGAGGTCTGATGTTCTCACTCGGGTGTTGATGGGTCAGGAAGTTTCACCTATGTAGCTCTGCCCACAATCACAGTTTATTTTGTAGATGACACATTTTGGGTTGTTGTTCTTTACGGTGGCGGGTTTTCTTCCATTGGCATGGAGAATGTTGTTAAGGTTGGAGGACGCGGAGAAGGTGGTATTTATGCCAGCTTGTTGTTTGAGTAGACGGCTGATTTGATGTGACGGTTTGCCAATGTAGGGGATGGATATATTGATGGGGGCTGAATCTGGTTTGGGTCTTTTGGTAGGAGGTGACAGGGTTGCAGCGATGGTTCTGTTGACTATTTGGGATGGAAAGTGGTTACGTTCTACGAAGACTTTCTTGAGGTGTTCGATTTCATCTTGTAGTTTAGTTGAGCAGATGTTCTTGGCCCTTCTGGTTAGTGTGGAGATGATGCCGGTCTTAACTTTAGGTGGATGATTGGAGTTGTAGTGGATGTACTGATCCGTATGGGTAGGTTTTCTATATACAGTGGTCTGGAGTTGGTTGCAGGAGGTGCGGGTCACAAGGACGTCAAGGAAAGGTAGTTGCTGGTTCTGCTCGGTTTCCATGGTGAACTTGATGCGGGGATGTTGGTTGTTGAGATGGGTCAGAAGCTGAGTGGGATATTGCTGAGGTTGGAGGATGACGAAGGTATCATCCACTTTGCGATACCAACATGTGGGTTTGAAGGGTGCAGTATCTAGTGCTTTATCTTCCAGGTCCGTCATGTAAATTTCGGTTAGGATGGGGGATAAGGGGGAGCCCATGGGAAGTCCATGAATTTGTTCAAAGATCTCGTCCCCCCAGGTGAAGTAAGTGGAGTTGATGCAGGTTGAGGTGAGACTGATGATGGAGTCGGTTGAGAGGCTGGTGTTGAGGGGTTGTTGAAGTTTATCAATTCTGTGGCGTAAGGTTTGGAGCGCTTCTTCTCTAGGTACATTAGTAAATAGGTCCACAACATCGTAGCTGATGATGGGACCTGGATTGGAGATGTCACGGATCTTGCTGCAGAAGTCTGTTGAGTCGTTGATGAAGGAGTTGGCAGATTTACCTAAAGGAGAGAGTACTTTGGTAAGGTGCTGGGCAGTATTGTAGAGAAGAAGCGCTCCAAGCCTTACGCCACAGAATTGATAAAGCCCAATCTACTGTATAAACATCTCATTATTATTTGTACATCATTGGCTTCCATGCCTGTCCTTTGTGTACTCTCTGGCTTCATCAGCTTTCTGCCTAGCCAAATATGTTAATTATGTTGTTTTCTTTGTTACATTGTTACATCCAGTATATATACACTTCCCCCTTCTTCATGTTCCATTATGCTTGACAACAGTACAAGAATCTGTATCGAAACGTCGCATTCACGAATAAAAAGAAGTTGTTATCCATAAAGTTTGTTCTATATTTTACTTCCCAACTTCTAAAATGCCACTCAAAGAAGTTATCAAACTGGCTGATGACTTGTTTTGTGGTGAGGATACAGCTGAAGAAGCTCTACATAACTGGCGCCTGGTCCTCACTGCCTTACACCGCAATAACCTTCGCCTCAGTGCCTCCAAAACGGTAATTTGCCCCAAATCAACCAGCATCTTGGGATGGATCTGGAGTAGTGGTTCTTTGACTGCAGGCCCACACAAGATTGCAGCTTTATCCGCTGTAAAACCTCCAACCACTGTTCAAGGACTACGTCTTTCATTGGCGCATTCAAGGCCCTAAGTCGTGTCCTGCCTGGATACGTGAAATTGATGTCCCCTTTGGATTCTGTCACAGCTGCACGACAGTCAAATGAGAAGATTTTATGGTCAGATAATCTCATTGCAGCATTCCGTGATGCCCAATCTGCATTGACCTCTTGCAAGACTATTGTTATACCTCGCCCGACAGATCACCTCTGTATTGTCACAGATGCGTCCATCAAAGCTCTAGGTGTTGCAGCTACTCTGTATGTTAACCGGAATGGAACGACCCATCTCGCAGGGTTTTTCAATGCCGAACTGAAAAAGCATCAAATGGTTCCCATGTGAACTTGAGGCACTTGCTATTGGCACTTCTGTCAGGCACTTCGCCCCATACATCACGTCAGCAGCATCCCAAACACAGATTCTCACACATAGCAGACCCTGTGTTCAAGCCTTCAACAAGCTCAACCGTGGCTGTTTCTCCGCTAGTGCCAGAGTCACAACATTTCTATCTATGGTCAGCAGGTACGTGTTACCATCTCACACATCGCTGGAGTTTTCAATATCCCCTCGGATTACATGATTCGTCACCCTAGTGAGTGCACAGACCAAAGCTGTCAAGTTTGCAGGTTCATTGCAGAATCGTCCGAGTCTGTGGTGTTCTCCCTCAGTGTTCGGGATGTTATTGAGAATGGTTCCAAAATGCCATTTACTAGTCATGCTGCGTGGCAAGCATCACAGCATGAGTGCCCTGACCTTAGACGTACACACTCTCATCTGTCTCAGAGGACACGCCAAAGTAAGACGGTTACTGACATTCCTGATGTTAAACGGTATTTGAGAGTGACTACCATAGCAAATGATGGCCTCCTAGTTGTCAAAGACAACACACCATTCCAACAAGCACGGGAACGTATTGTTGTACCAAGAACAGTCCTCCATGGGCTCTTAACTGCCCTTCACATTCGCTTCAATCATCCCTCCTGCTATCAACTCAAACAGATATTTAGCAGATACTTTTTATGCCTTGGATATTGTTAAAGCTACATCCCAGAAGCTTGCCATCACTGCATGTCTCGAAGTGTATCCCTTCACAACTGTACCCCCAGTCAACAAAAACTGTACCGGACATGGTATGTTCCACGTTTGCCGCAGATGTAATGAAACGCTATGGCCAGCTCATTTTTGTGCTCCGTGAGACTGTTTTGTCTTTCACAAAATCTTGCATCATACCCAGTGAGAAACATCATGATCTGAGGAATGCCATCTTAATGCTTTCGGCGGACCTCAAGCATTGCGGATCTGATGGATGTCTTGGAGAAAGCAATTGAGGAGCTAGGCCTTGAGTGTCTCCATTACAATTGTGAAGGGCGTCATCTCTCACCAGTTACTTTGAACCTTGCAACGGCCAATTTGAACTGCAGAATACGGAAAGGGGGACTTTCTGCCAGGGAGGTACTCACTCAGAGAGACCAAATCACCGGCGAGAACCTCCCTGTCTGTGACAGACAACAGAATCATTCCCCAAGCAGCAAATCAAAAGCTCGTGGTAGTCTTCGTTATGATCCATGTGATGTCTCTGTAGGTGATTTGGTGTATCTCAAGTCTGACCGAGACAAAACTTGTGCTCAGAGCAAGTACATGGTCACGGCAGTGACAGACACGTGTCTTCAAACACATAAGTATACTCAAATCTCAGTTTCGCTCACGAGTATACGAGGTGCGGCCGTCAGACAGTTACCGGGTAATGCCAACTCTACGCAGAACCACACCTAGTGGCCAAATCAGAGGCTTGACTGAACGTGACAATATTCAAGGTTTCGCTCATTCCCAGTCTGCAAAGCTTCCCATCTGTGACCTACCTGGAGTGTACGATCCAGGCGGACCTGACCTTGCAACACTGGACATTGAGTCTCCCTCTAGTCAAGAGACTGTGGCAGACATATCCATACCTTTGAGGCGATCTCAGCCTATTTGCGCCCAGCCAGTGTGGCAAAGATGTGGCGAGATGGTCTTGACTTAATGACTGTTCGTTACTTGATATAATTCATCACTTGCACATAATATTGCCAAAGACATTACTTTTTGATGAACATTGTCAGGTTATGTTCAACTGATTTGTTTTCTCCCGAAGGCAGGAGGAAGGGTGGTCACGCCATCACGCGAGATCCGCGTTCGTTTCTTTTCCTTCGTACGGAATGGTATAGTTCACCATTCCTAGTTTTGGTTGTTCATGTTATGGTTGTCGAATAAACCGCATGGTGTTCGAGAGATCGGTGTTGTTTATTGGCGTTAACTGAATTTTCAGAGCAAAAGAGAAATTTCATAGCATGGCCAAAAATAAGACCTATACATAAAGAGGTCTACAACACAACATTCTACAACAAGCATATTGTTTGGTGAATAAGGTAACTATTGTAAACATTTAGTGACCATGAGGTGAGTCTTGTGAGGAAACAGAGGCTTATGATGTGACAGCAGATATGACTGGAGGACACACGTTGTGTTGGAATCCATGTACCTGGGTTGTTCTTGATAACATTCCGCAGAGCTTCCAGGGCCATTTCTACCTTGCCCAATCTACCTCCCTGATCCGACTGTGTTGATGCTTTTTTCTGTTGTTGAAGCATCATTAGGGAATGTAAATACTGAAAACATATGGACAACATTACTGCATTGTAACACTCAGATAGCTGGACGGGAACTCACAAAGCCACTTTCTTTGTAGTTGATCGGAATGCTCAGGATTATTTGAAAAACAGAAAACTAGTATTAAAAAAATCCATTTTGTTCATTTTTGATAGGACACAAGCAATGACTTTCACACAACTAGAAGTGTTGCCCAGAAGTTTTGTTCTAATGCATTGGTCATACCCAACTATCTACAGGAAATGTGCTACAATGAAATCCCATGATAATAGTTTAAAGACCATAGTGACATCAAGTGTGAAATAGCTGCCTTGATGTTGTTGGCCTGCATCTGGTTTACGGTCATCATTCTAGAGAATATGAAATGCTCTTGTCCAACTGGCTAGTGAATATTCAATGGTGATTTGTTCCTTGCTATGTACATCTCAGTCAAAATGAATGTAAAGCTAGTGAAATTGGATGTTGGCTTATAACCTTTCAGCAGCGTGTAGTTCTGGTGAGACTTACTTATTTCACACAGTGGTGTCATATCAAGTGTATCGACACTCCTCAATATACTGCAAGCCTCAGGAGTTCCACACAGTAAAATATCATATAGAAATGCTTGCAATGTGCAGCTCTCTCTATCTATACTTACTTGAGCCTGTGATCCCAAGTAATCTAATAAATCAATGGTGAATCCCTTTGCATTCTGGAAAAAATTGACAGCTGTTTATCAAGTGAAAAGGTACAGATAAATTTATGATATATATAAAAATACATAACAAGTGATTTCTTCAGGTGCATAAGCATTAAATATATCAAAAATAGAGTCCAGATAGTCGTGCTGGTTAAAACTCTTTGATGAATATAACCACTTGTAAACATCTATTTTTCACAAATTCAACTTACCTCTAGTAGAAATGTTGGCTGTTCATTGTACACTCTCACAAATATTTCTCCAACAATCAGTTCCTTCGCATAAATATCAAACACAAAGTTGGCTCCATAGCTGCTGTCACATTCTCCCTGGAAACAAATGACACTGGATCATGCAATGTAGTTTTACCGAATAATAATGATGACGAAAAATACATGCCCTATCTTGATCTGATGACATCACTTCTTTTTTTCATGGGTGGTGGGGTTGCAAAGTGGTTACGCCGAAGACCCGGGTTCGATTTCCCACATGGGTACAATGTGTGAAGCCCATTTCTGGTGTTCCCCGCCGTGATATTGCTGGAATATTGCTAAAAGAGGCGTAAAACTAATACTCACTCACTTTTGTCTTAATACAACAGGAAATTGATGACTTATGATGACCTAGAACATGAATATCAGGTATAACTGTAGTACTGCATAAGTTATCAACAGAACCACCGCCCTGAAACTCACCAGCGTAGTTAGCGACCAAGAGAGCCACTTAAAAACCAGATGTTATCAACAAAGCTATTGAAACATTTTCTTCATATCGGAATATCATCAAGAATGATAATATTTTAGAATACTACTTTCAACACTTGATTATTTCCTGAAATTTTCTTCTGATCCATAGGTTTAGCTTGAATAAATTTTGTTAAAGACCATGATCTTGTGTTGTGTTTCTTTCCAGTGGTCTTCCAAAGCGCGCTATCCTTCGGAGTTTTCTCCGCTCACATCATCATAATTTTTCCTGATAATTTTTCAGAAATAGCCAGACTGAAAATGATATTTAACTCATTAAGGCCGAGAGACGCATATATGGGGCAAATTAATCAGCTCCTCACAGCGAGTGACGTGTTTATGGGGCAGGTAATTAGCAGTTTCTCACAGCGAGAGCCACGTACAGTCGTCAACAGAAAGCACCTCTTATTCAGCAAGAGACGCACATGTGTGTTGTACTTTAAAAAAAAAAATTGCACTGTACCTATTACTTCAACCAATTTAGCAGTACTGAGCAAATGTTAGCTTTTCTTACGAGAGATCCCACCTTTAGTATCAATCAGAAGAAGTATTTAAAGTGTTTTGATAACAATTGCTAATCATTATCATAGGCTTGTACAGCGTTTAGCAAATGAACGCATGTCTGCGAGAAAGGAGATTATGATGTTTTTTACAGAGGTAAGTGCCTGGTACTCTTCTTTGGGAATGGATACTAAAATACTTCGTAGGCACCTTGATTGAATTAGATGTAATGGTTAAGAGGTTACTAAAAATTATATTTCCTTCAACTACCTAATAAATAGGAAACAATATACGAAATTTCAAGGACATACAAAGAATTCAAACACAATAGAATAGTTTGAATTTACTTTTAGGCATCATTACGTTGTCATGTTTCATATACTGAAACATAATGTATAAACACAAGTAATTATACATCCAAGCTCGAATAGATTAAACATCTTTGAACTTACTAATTTGAAGTTTACTGAATTGTAACTAGTTGTTTTCCATAATCTAAAGTTAAGTAATGTTACCTAAGCGAATATAAAGTGATAAGTCGCTACTTTGCATCGAATACATATATACATGTCAGTGTTATTACAACAATGAAATGTTTTACTACGTTTGTTACAAAAGACAGTAAGTTGGTAATTCAAAACATTGTCACACATGGACAGAAGTAATATCATAAGTTATTACATGTAAGCCATACAAAGGTATTTCAAGCATTTTGTTCAAGCTGTTGAAAGTTTCATGTTGATTTGAATTGTCAGTTTTCTATGCAATTTACATGAGCATTCTGTAAAACGTTTGTTTTTATCTGTGTAATTATCAAATCCGGTGCAATTATCCGTGTATCAATCAACTCAGTCTCTATTGATCCATTGTCAATAAAAGCTGGACAGTATATCAGTTACGGTATCGATACACATCGCATTATAATCATTCAAGCAGATTACAGTAATGAGATAATTGAGCGCCTCTTCGACCTTGAAATAATAACAGCCTCCGGTAGAATGCATATGTAGTTACGTCCTTGTTGAAAGGTTTGTCCGTGACAAGTGTAAAATAAACAGATCGCTGTTATATCATTGGACATCTTGCTTTATGGAGTCACGCCCTCTCTGTGATGTTTATACATGCATGCACATCTGTAATCTTATGAACCTCGTTTGCATTCAGTAAAGATATAGGCACGCCCACCTTCATAAATATTGGGGGTGGGGGTGTCAACTGCAAGTTTATACACTATAATAATTCAGAATAGTGTCACCTCGCGTGAATTCTGTAATGCGTGTACTCTAGTTTGGATAGTCATTCGTATCAAGGTGAAGATTATATTTACATGTACAGCAAACCATTATGTTTTATGTACTAGTTGTGTGCATAAAATGTATATGAAAATAAATACTACCTCTACTCAGTGGTTGGATTTCAATCGCTTTGTTTTACTTATCGAAAAACACTAAAATGAGGACAAATAAACTCGCCAAAGTGACTATCTACTCCTATTTGTCTTATGTGTATATTTCATACATCGTTACCAGTGTGTACGTTTACAATACACAAACTGTTACATGATAGCTTGAGTTGATAAAGCCGAAACCCAGCATATTGACTGGTCAAGGATATAGCCAATAACCAATCTCTATCCAAGCTGCTGAGTGACCAAACGTGCTCTTCAAAATTTCATGCGCCCGTCACCTGTCCTTTCCTCTGTGACAGGTATCTCATGATACGATTGGTCGCAGATAACATATGACCAGCCACTATACTGAACAGTTGAGATACCAGTGTGTATGTTTACAATACACAAACTGTTACATGATAGCTTGAGTTGATAAAGCCGAAACCCAGCATATCAACTGGTCAAGGATATAGCCAATAACCAATCTCTATCCAAGCTGCTGAGTGACCAAACGTGCTCTTCAGAAATTTCGCCCACGCCCCGTCACCTGTCCTTTCCTCTGTGACAGGTATCTCATGATACGATTGGTCGCAGATAACATATGACCAGCCACTACATTGAACAGTTGAGATACCGAACGTTCTATTCGGGAAATTTGATGACGCCCTATCACGTGACTCTTTGTTTTATGTCTATGCAAGGAATATGTAGTATACATTTTGTATATGTATGTTTGTATGGTCACGTATGTTTTCTGCATTAAATCTGTATGAAACAAGAAGACAAAGTCATCAATATCCCCCGCAATGGCAAAATACTCTTCATGATTATGTCTACGAGTTATGATTATGTCAAATATTTAGGTGTGTACATAGAAAAGTGGAAGGAGAGTATTGAAAGGGTTTAAAAGTTCTGCTCCAGAAAGGAGCACTATCACCAATTTCAGTCTAAGTCAAACTTGTTGCCATGGAAATGCCAAATATTATTTTATTCAGAATTCCAAAACTACCAAAAGGCACAAGTACACCACCAGATCTATCTATGTGCCAAGTTTGGTGAAGAAATAGTGAACGGTTTTAGAGTTCAGCTCAGGAAAAGAGCCCTACTACCAATTTCAGGCTAAGTCAAACTTGTTGCCATGGAAACGCCAAAAATATTTAATTCAGAATTCCAAAACTACCAAAAGGCACAAGTACACCACCAGATCTATCTATGTGCCAAGTTTGGTGACGACATATTGAACGGTTTTAGAGTTCTGCTCCGGAAAAGAGCACTACCACCAATTTCAGTCTAAGTCAAACTTGTTGCCATGGAAACGCCAAAAATATTTAATTCAGAATTCCAAAACTACCAAAAGGCACCAGTACACCACCAGATCTATCTATGTGCCAAGTTTGGTGAAGACACATTGAACGGTTTTAGAGTTCTGCTCCATAAAAGAGCACTACCACTAATTTCATTCTAAGTCGAACTTGTTGCCATGGAAACGCCAAAAATATTTAATTCAGAATTCCAAAACTACCAAAAGGCACCAGTATACCACCAGACCAATCTATGTGTCAAGTTTGGTGAAGAAATAGTGAACGGTTTTAGAGTTCTGCTCCGGAAAAGTGTACTACCACCAATTTCAGGCTAAGTCAAAACTTGTTGCCATGGAAACGCCAAAAATATTTTATTCAGAATTCCAAAACTACCAAAAGGCACCAGTACACCACCAGATCTATCTATGTGCCAAGTTTGGTGAAGAAATAGTGAACGGTTTTAGAGTTCTGCTCCGGAAAAGAGCACTACCACTCATTTCATTCTAAGTCGAACTTGTTGCCATGGAAACACCAAAAATATTTTATTCAGAATTCCAAAACTACCAAAAGGCACCAGTACAGCACAAGACCAATCTATGTGCCAAGTTTGGTAAAGAAATAGTGAACGGTTTTATAGTTCTGCTCCGGAAAAGAGCACTACCACCAATTTCAGGCTAAGTCAAACTTGTTGCCACAGAAACGCCAAAAATATTTTATTCAGAATTCCAAAACTACCAAAAGGCACCAGTACACCACCAGATCTATCTATGTGCCAAGTTTGGTGAATAAATATTGAATGGTTTTAGAGTTCTGCTCCGGAAAAGACAAATGTGCACAGACGGACGGACGGACGGACAGACGCACGCACGCACGCGACGCATACGACGACGACGCGATACGCGACGGACGGAGTCCATTTTAATACCCCCCGCAAAACGCGTTGCGGGGGATAATAAAGTGCAATGCTATGAATGTGCTTTGTGCTAGTCACAGACTAGCGTTATAGTACTTTCATTAAAATAATTCGTAAACACAAGAAATGTATCGGCAAAACCGCTATTTTCGTCGAAGATTATAAAGGATGAAAGTAAATTCTTCTTTACAGTATGTCATTGTCATAGATGTTTTGTAAATTTAAACCTCACACAATGATATAAGAGAGAGAATTTGTTAACGTGTGTCTCATCTGTTACATACAAAGAATACATGTGTATGCATATTGTGATAAAATATAAATGTACAAGCCGACAAAAGGTCTACAAGAGAAACTTGCAATAAAATTACATAAAGCTTGCAATACACGACATGTATTCACACCTGATTTCTTTCAACATATATCTTTATGACACAATTAAACAATCAGGACTTGTTTGTACTACTAGACAGTTTCCTGTGATCCCCGAAACCTGCCAGGGAAATCAGGTGTGACTAGCACTAATTAGTCTCGGCACAGAGAGTGGGCAATCAGCGAGGGCTTCCAGGTGTCGAGTTGTGATGGGGCTCTCAGGCTTAATGTGTTAAACCTCTTGAATCATTGGTGGCAACAATTTGTAAAAGTTTCAGATGATGTTCCAGGAAATTCATCTTCGAGAAATTAAGATGCAGGTTTCAAAAGTAAAACAGAGTCAAACTAAATATGTTATCCAGTGTAGTCTATTTTGGATTCCAACATGTTGTACAAACTGGGTTGTCATCATTGGTGGGAACTGACTACAGGCAAGACCTACTGGCCATGACCTCAGCTGACTTTCAGTTTTGTGAGGAAACACAACTAAATGTGAACAGGAATGCTTCATACTTTACATGGGCTGGAAATAGAGTTGTTAAGTGCTCAGAGATTGATAAGGAGACCTGGGGACAGACAAATGACTAATACCCATGTCATCAGCTCATGTCTTGAAACAGTGTCATTGAGTTTTGTCTATGCTATTCCCATCATGTTAAGCTTACATAGCAGAGGGCTACAGACACAAAAGGACACAAACACTTTGCTAAAAACTGACAAGAAGAGAAAGGACTTACAGTTTTGATCATCATTTGTTGTTGGTCAGCCAGGTACTCACTCAACTGTGCACGTGTGGCATTGTCCCAGATAAGATAGGGATTCTCAGTGTTACTGTTGAGAATCTTCAGTATCTACAAAAAATAAAACTTTTGTTAATGTTTAGACAAAGTCTCCGGCTAACGCTAATTAAAAACAACATAATTTGTTCTGACAGAAGTAAATGCATGAATAGGTTACTATAAAAAAACAATAAAACTTGCGTTATTATTTCCTATTTACCAAAAACAAACAACTAGCAAGCATTATTTTGGTTTGCTGAAATTCATGACTGATACTTATATGGTCTTAAGTGAAACCCTAAGTAATTTGTATCAATCATACAGATGCTTCCAGTGATATCATTATGAGATAGACATTACATACCTCTGCTGGCTGTTCATTGGACAATTTTCTGGCCATGTAGGGTGTCAACATAGCACCAAGTGACTTCTTGACGGTTGGGTTGTCAGGACTTGACAATGGACTTTCATTGTTGTAGTAGCCACCTAACCTTGCACAAGCTCGGATACTCAGTCGAGCCAATTCATTTGCTATTTCCTGAAACAAATTTTGTTAACAGTATAATTATTAATGGCAAGACGTATGTGAAAATTTCACTTCCATTCGTACATGACTGGAAACAAACATGTTTTCAGATGGCCCATGCCAACATTTGTCAGGGACAGCTATCGACATGAATGTAAAACTCAGTTGCTTTCACTTCTTCCTTGGTTTCACAGGAACAAGTTAGGCATTTTCTATATTGAACAATAATACTGGTACCGTAGTATCTCCAGGCCAAATGGAAAGAACAAAATATTTGATTGTATAATTAAGAAGGGACTGACTTCTGAAAATGATATCCAAAAGTAGAGATGTGAAAAACTTGTACATCATCAACAAAGATAACAATTCTTTTAGAATACTACCTCATTGCCTTTCACCTGAAACTTGTTTTTGAGTCCACAGGTTTACAAATCTCAAGTACAATGGGCAACAATCCTCAGTTATTCCCCCTTCCCACTTCACCAATAGATGATGCTAATCATTACAGTCCTAAGAACCAGAACTTCATCTGTGGGGCCTTGACTGATCGGATGTGTTGCCTGTATCTGGAGCTGTGGAGAGGAGGCAGAGTTTAAGGTCTGACGAAATTTCCTGTCTTCTTCTGACTTGAGCCTTCCTCACATTTCCTTCTGAACTATTTCCACTGACGGTAACTATTATCCATATGATGACTTCACTGACTTGCGTCTGACAGGCTTCCTATCACCTGTGTGGTCCACAGCCTCACAGTTATCCATATGATGACTTCACAGACTTGCGTCTGACAGGCTTCTTATGACCTGTGTGGTCCACACCCTCACAGTTATCAATATGATGACTTCACAGACTTGCGTCTGACAGGCTTCCTATGACCTATGTGGTCCACACCCTCACAGTTATCCACATGATGACTTCACTGACTTGCGTCTGACAGGCTTCCTATCACTGACTTGCGTCTGACAGGCTTCCTATCACCTGTGTGGTCCGCAGCCTCACAGTTACCCATATGATGACTTCACTGACTTGCGTCTGACAGGCTTCCTATCACCTGTGTGGTCCATGATCTCACAGTTATCCATATGATGACTTCACTGACTTGCGTCTGACAGGCTTCCTATCACCTGTGTGGTCCACACCCTCACAGTTATCCATATGATGACTTCACTGACTTGCGTATGACAGTCTTCCTATCACCTGTGTGGTCCACACCCTCACAGTTATCCATATGATGACTTCACTGACTTGCGTCTCACAGGCTTCCTATGACCTGTGTGGTCCACGCCCTCACAGTTATCCATATGATGACTTCACCGACTTGCGTCTGACAGGCTTCCTATGACCTGTGTGGTCCACACCCTCACAGTTATCCATATGATGACTTCACTGACTTGCGTCTGACAGGCTTCCTAGCACCTGTGTGGTCCACACCCTCACAGTTATCCATATGATAACTGCACTGACTTGCATCTGACAGGCTTCCTATCACCTGTGTGGTCCACACCCTCACAGTTATCCATATGATAACTGCACTGATTGGAATCTGAGAGGCTCCTTTGGCCTGTGCGGTACCTGTGTGCAGTCTGTAGGAAACATCCTGTATGGTTGCTTGGTCCATGGAGTCCGTGCAGTCCATGAGTCCAGGTCTGTAACAGCACGTCTTGGATACCTCCTCAGATAAGGTTATGGTGTCTGAAGGCATGCCTGCCCCTCACTTTGGATCTGTACATGGCCTCCTGGCTGCAGCTGTAGAGTCATGCTCATCTTGCAATAAGGCTGAGATATGGTCAAAAAGTCCTTGAATTAGGTCACCAATGGGCCTGAGTGCTGCTCCATGATATATCTCATGGCAGGTGCAATGTCCAGTGTAGCTTGTTGATGTAGATCCAAATCAAAACGGGTAATGAATGAACATACCATCTGGACACATTCCCAACAGTCATAATGTGGCTCATGAGGGAACATGAGTTTACTGCAATCAGGGCATTTATTATTGTCTGATGTTGAGGCTGAAATACACTTAGATACCTCAGATTTATCCATGATGAGAATATTTTGAAAGGTATTTGCAAACCCTAAGAATTACAAAACAATTCTCAGAAACAAGGAAGCATGTGCTCAAGTATCCCACAAAGGAAATTGTGAGGTTTCCCCTGTATTTACTTTATAAACCAGACCTCAGAAACAAGTTTCAGGAAAGAACGCAATCAAGTGCTAGAGTTACTTTTTAGTAAGAATTGTTATACATTTGGCTGCTAATGTTTTCTCACAACTAACTGTAACAGTTATCTGCATTTCAGAATTTCTTATGTCATTCGTAATCATAAAGTAACCTAGAATAATTGATTGTATTATTGTATGTATTTTTACAGTAGATTGATAGGGAATGAAGCAATTAATGATTTTTGTGAACTTACTATTATATAGATCATGTGACATTCCACTATCCACTATTCACACTATCCACCAATGGGAGTCTCAGCCTTGAGACAAGTAGACTTGGTATTTAAACATAAAACCAATGCTGCTTTGTGGCCTTGTTCAGAGAACTAAATTTTAGCAGAGGTGAAATTACAATTACAGTTACACATAATACCTACATATTGTAAAGCTATTAACTATATTATCATGGGACCCTCTATTATCGCGGTAGTTAATGTTGTCGCCATCAAGATTATGAACGGCTACTGACATTTAGCATTTTAAATATATTTTCAGTTGACTTATGTTTAATCTTCATTTCTGTCACAAATAATTTGACACATAGTCGCAACTCGTTTAATACCATTGTGACTGTGACATGACACTGTGAAACGTTTACTAAGACAAGTAACGAATCTAAATAGTTTGATCATTAAAAAATATGTAGGAATTTCATTAACATTAGTAATATCATCATGTTTTTAACACAAACATCTGAAACTTCTATTCATTTGGATACAAGGTAACAATAATGTTACAAAAATGTAATTTTCTGAATAAAATTGATATTTTATACTTATCCTGACTCATGCTCTTTAGCTTGTCTTCTTCTTCTTACGAACATAGTGGAACACTTGTATCTCCCAATTGAAGCTCCCTTCAATGTAAAATCACTAATTAGTACTCACCACGAGTTGCCTCCCTCTTCCTTAGCGCGGGAAAGGAGGTGCCACCCTCTGGCCTCATGCTTCATTCTCTCCTGATATAGCGAGCCCAACACTTGAATTTACAGGGAAATCCAAAGTGTTATGTGGGGAGGATGGGAGGGCTTACCTCATGAGTCAGGATAAGTATAAAATATCAATTTTATTCAGAAAATTACATATTTTTCCTTATCCTGATTCATGCTCTTTTGCTTGTAGAATCCTACGGAAACGGAGGTGGGAAAATCAGAATACTTTGGATTTAAATAATTAGTGATTTATATATATATATGTAATAACCCCCTACGGGAACTTCATAATGGCACTGAATTAGGATAATTCCTGCTACTATAAACCATAAGTTTACCAGCTGCCATAGATGGGGTACTACAATAATATACTATGATAATAGCAGTAATGATATAAAAGCGACTCCAAAATGGAGAAGCTACCCAACTGTACATAAACATCAGTACTGGGCTTAAGACTAAGTAGACTTAAGATATGTATATAATTAGCCCTAAAACTCCGTAGAGTTATAAGCTAGATGATACTGTTATGAAATAAGCAGTAAAAATCTCGTAAGATTGACTTATCTTCTCCGAGGGACTGTCAACTGCTGTGCGAGGACCATGGGACCGAAATGGTGAATACCTGAGACGTCCTCGGTGGTGATATCTCTCAGATAGTGATTAGCAAACACCATGTCGGATTTCCAAAAGCAGCCCTCCATAATGGTATTTAATGAGCAGTTACCGTGTAGAGCGAGAGTGGAAGCCAGTGCTCTGATCTCATGTGGATTAGATGCTCTTGGAGGGTCGAGTCCTGCAGCATTGTAGGCGCGAAGTATTACAGTTCTTATCCATATTGATATGGTGGTACGAGAGACTTCGGTCTGAGTCGCTGTCGATAGAGGGATGAATAATCGTTTGAGATGTTGTCGCCTCGTTTTCGATTGTCGTAAATAGATTTTGAGAGCTCTGACTGGGCATAAAGATAGGGCCAGCGTATCTTGAGATCCAAGAATTGAGGAGAGTGCGGGAACATGGAATAATCTGTCTGGTTGACCTGGCAATTGATTCTTGGCGATGAAATCCCATCGTAGTCCCATGTGCACAATGTTTTGATTGTCGTCAAACCGTATTCTCTCATAATCTAGTGCGTGAATTTCTGACATCCTGGTTGCCGTTGCTAGGGATAACAGGAACAATGTTTTCTGTGAGAGAAATTCAAAAGTTGTTGATTCCAGTGGTTCATAAGCCTCACTTGTAAGGTGTTGGAGCACTATATTTAGATCCCATGCTGGAGCGTGGAACTTCTGTTTCTGATCCTCCAATCGGAATGCACGTAGTAAGGCCAGTAACTCTGGTATTTTGGTTAACTTGACACCCGTTCTCATAGTTATCACAGAACTAAGAGCGGCAAGATATGTTGACAATGTCGAGCCTATTAAATGTTTATTTTGGCGTAAGTAACACAGATAGTCAGCCACTTGTGGATGTGTAGCATTTCTCGCTGTAAATCCCTTTTTTCCTGCGTAAGTTTCGAAGCTGTGCCACTTGTCGTCGTACAAGTTAGGTGTAGAATAGCGTAAAGCAAGTGTGACTGCTTTCGCCGCTCTGGCTGAATAACCTCTCTTGTTTTAGACATACTTTAATACAGTCCATACGTGAAGTTGGAATGCTTCTGGCTTTCCGTGCGCTTGTTTGGTGTGAGGATGTATTAGTAGATTCGAGCGCTTTGGTAGCTCTAGTGTTGGTTGTCCGATTTCTTGAATTAGAATGGGAAACCATGTTCTCGCTGGCCAGTAGGGCGCGACCAAAATCAGTTGGAGGCTCTGTGTTTTTCTGATTTTCTGTAACACTTGTGGGATTAACGTTGGCGGCGGAAACGTTGAGGCCCTTCCAGGATATGCTTAGAGCGTCCGTTGCCCACGCTTGTGGATCCGGGACTGGTGATACGAATGTTGTTGGCTGATTGTTGAAGCGAGTGGCGAATAGATCTATTAGCGGAGCTCCTATTTTCTTGATAATCTGTGCAAAGATTTCTGTGTGGAGCATCCATTCTGTCGGTGACGGTAGATGTGGCCGAGAGAGTGCGTCTGCTAGTACATTCTTGGCTCCGGGAATGTGACATGCTCTGACATGTAAGTTGACATCGTCGATTAGATCGAACAGTTGAAAGCAAAAAGTCAATAGGTTCAGTGATCTCGTTGAGCCTTGTTTGTTCACATAAAACGCCACTGTTGAGTTGTCGGTGTGAATCATCAGATGCGCCTTCTGTAGAATGGTGCTCCAATGTAGTATGGCATTGATTACAGCTTTCATCTCTAGCATGTTTATGTGGAGCTTGCTTTCTTGCTGATTCCATAACCCTGATGCCGTCCGGTTGGCGAGATGAGCTCCCCAACCTTGGAGCGACGTGTCTATAAAGAGATGGGTTTTGAATTCCGGCTCTGTTAAATAAATGCCTTCGCAGACATTCGACCTCCTGGTCCACCATAGTAGATGAGGTCTGATGTGTTTCGGTAGACTGAATGGTTGTAGGTCGTTGAGATGAGCATTGATGAAGACCTGTAACGGACGTAACTGTAGTCTGCCTCTGACTGTCATGTCTTGGGCTGACGTGAGGAGACCCAACAGACTCTGCCATAGTCGTAGTGGTAGCGGAGAGAGTAAGGCTTGTGGGAGCCTCTGTGAAGTCTGCCTGATGACGCTGGCTAGCGTGTCCATCGACTTTATCATAAGGACTTCTCTAGAATCCTTGGTGACTTCCTTAGAGACTTTGTCTATTCCTCCATCGAAGATGGATGGCGTAGACCACGGGGCTGTATAGAGTGGAGCTGTAAACTGCTCACCCCAGCTGCAGGAAGCGAGGAGGCCTTGACGACGAGCCAGGGTTAGTGCTGCAGAGACTGATGTGAGATGATCCGTTAGAAACTGCTGGTCCTTCTTTTGCATAAGTAGGGCCGAGTAGACCATTCTGTCATCCTCAGATGTCGAATCTCGAAATCTGGATATAAGAGTCTCATTGATCGTTCTAGATCTATTAAGGCCGAAAAACATTCGCCTTGTCATGGTTTCTATCTGAACCAGCTTGCGATCGTCAATCTTATAGTTCTTATTCTTGACATCGTTGATCACTTTGTAGTTGTCATCGATCTCTTGTGCCTTGAAAAAGGGGTCCATATTATGAGTTGCAAACTTCTTAGCGTTGAACTGTGGTAAGTGTGGCGCTTGGACTTTAGTGGCTTTATGGAAGGCTGTGTCCAGATTCTGTGGGACCATAGCAATCGGGTCGATCGGGGGTAGGGTGATGTTGTCTGCATCGTCCTCCCTCATCACGTAAGTGTGTGCCGGATTACCGTTCTTAGACGGTGAGGCTAGGTCTAGGTTATTCACCATCCAATAGCGTATCTCAGCGTCTGAGAATATGATGCCTCCATCATCTTCTATAACGGGATCGCTTATAAGAGGTTGATGCTCTTCCGATGGTGACCTGTATGGATCTATCTCTGTGCAGGACGAGGACACCGGTGACCTGACTGGGGACCACCGTGAAGACTTATGCGATGCGGCGAACGGTGTGGTGACCTGCAAGGTGATCGGCGAGGTGGACGACGAGGTGATCGGCGTGGAGAACGGCGAGGAGATCGTCTTGGTGAACGAGCTGACGAGCTGTGTCTAAATGGTGACCTTCGCGGCGATCTATGTTGCGAACGTTGATAGCTTTCGCGAAGCTCTTGGAGAATCCCTCGATGGCCTTCTAGACGAAGATAAATTGGAGCCTGTAACTGGTGCCCTTCGTGGAGACCTTCGCGAAGCGTCATCTGAGTCCGGTCCTGGGGAGCGACGACTTGACCTTCGCGAAGGCTGAGGGTCCGAGTCCGAGTCCAGGGATGAGATGATCTTTTCTTTCGAGCTTCCTCGTGCGTGTTGATCATCAAGGTCCGAGGTAGATGACGATCTAGACGTCCTTCGCAAAGGCCTTCGCGAAGGCTGTACATCTGGGTCCTTCGCCGAGGTGGTCTGTGACTTCCTTCGCGGAAGTGGCATCGTAGTGGCCTCTACGTTGACGGGGGGTCCCTGTGGGGTGTCGTCTACGTTGGAGCCTTCGCGAAGGCTCAGGCTCTGGGCTGGTTGTCTCTCCAGTCTGTATCGGTCCTCCATCATCTTCATGATCTGCCGCATCAGGTCGTCTGGGATGGTCTGTGAAGATGTAGTCGGTGCCCTCTCTGCGTTGGTAACGACGGGCCCTCAGGAAGATCGTCCGACATCAGCGTTGGTACATCAGGCTGCATGGCGATCTGCGCTGATGTCACTGTTGCCGACACTGGTCGTTTCTTGTGGCGTAGATCGGGTATGATGATCGGCTGATCATCATACAGGCCCAGTTCTCGGCGGGAACAATCTCGGCTGAGAAGGTTCTAGACTTTGTTGATTTCCCCTTGGAGGTAGATGCTGCCCTGGGGGTACGGAGTCTGCGTTGAGATGATGTCGAAAACCTCTTAGACTTTGGCTGCGACGACGGGATGTCTGGGGATGCAGGACACTTCATGGAGACGGCGGACTGAGTCCCACGCCTCTCCTCCCAGGGTAACTCTAGCGGAACACCAGACAGGAGGGGGTCGTCCGACAGCAGCTGACTGGCTAGGGGTTCCGATGAATCGGCCATGGCTAAACCTTGTTTGCGTGATCTATCTGCTGCACGTCTCAAGACGCAAAGATAATATTTATTAAATGCAGAATTAGACAGATTAATACAATAACTGCAACGTGAAGGCGCTCTCACATCCTGCTCACTGGGCGAAGAAGGAGAGAGTGAAGCATGAGGCCAGAGGGTGGCGCCTCCTTTCCCGCGCTAAGGAAGAGGGATGCAACTCGTGGTGAGTACTAATTAGTGAGTTAACATTGAAGGGAGCTTCAATTAGGGAGATACAAGTGTTCCACTATGTTCGTAAGAAGAAGAAGACAAGCAAAAGAGCATGAGTCAGGATAAGGAAAAATTATTGTTTTTCCGCCTTAATACGTACCTTACAAGTTCCTGCCGTGTGTAGAGTGAAGTTGCATAATACGTCACTTCCAGTTATATTTTTAGCACGGAAAATATGCAAATGACCTTATAGTTGTCGCAGGATTACTCTTGACGAAGTAAGTTTTGATTCATACTAGATGTAATGTCAGTAGGGGTCATACTAGTTTCAAAATGTTCTAGAACTTACTGAAAAGATGAATGCTTTAAATATTTCTACGATGAGACATGACATTCCGATGAAATAAATGACTTTTTCAAGAGCGATGAATATATTTTACATAATTTGCATATGTAAACAGCCGATGCGGGGCGTGGTGTTTCTGCTTTCCCGATGTTTTCACATGCTGCGATAATAGGGAGCCCACGATAATAGAGAGTCCCATGATGGAAATATTTCTTCATAACTTCCCTGAAAAAGTGTGTGGAAAATCTAAAGCGAACCTGTTGATTGCTCTCCCCACTCTTCTGCACACCACCCTCTTCTAGAGTGTAGTCATAATTGAAGAGGTACAGAAGAAGATGCCAGAGTATGCCAGCTTGATGGAGGTTGGTTTGAAGCCAGAAGTCCACACAGAATGCACTCACACTCTCACATACAACACAGCATAGCTTTGTCAGGTTCTGCAATAACAGAACACATGAATCAAACAGAACATGTCAAAAACGTATTAGCAATGTGACATACCTCATATATAATGACAACAGTCTTAACCCTGCACTTGGAAACAAACATCAATTGTCAGCTGACGTGATGGCTGATATGTACAATAACAAACACTCAAATGGATGACAACCTTGGAGCTAGTAGGACAAGTAGGATGATACTTGTATGCTGCTTCACTGACTCTCACCCTGTTGCATGTAATATACGACCAATGTGGTGGGGGTACATGTCATATTGTGGTATGCCTAACATGAGTGTGGTCTTCTTCCCTTACAATATTCCCATGTCAGCTGGAAAAGTTACAAATAATAATTTCACACTATTCAGAGGCAACCTCAATAATATTTTTATGTGAGAATTAATAATGTACTAAGAATGCAGTTTTACCTTGTAATACAATATTCTGCAGAGATCTTTGATGATGGAAGACACTTCTTGAATCTTTTCCCTGCAACCTTCAAACTGAGAGGCCACTGCATAGCTCTTGGCAACATATATGCAGACCTGAAACCACAAGACATTTACATCAATCCACGCTACAATGGAATCTGTCGTCTGTAGTCCTGGTATGACTGTTTTGGAAACATATTTCCTCTGAATCATTATTCTCTGTTTATATATCATATTAGGATAAACAGAGGGAAGAGTTTGGAGAAATGGCAACAAGACTGAATGTTATAGGCTGTACATATGATATGTACTACTAAAAGCCTGCTATAAATCGCCACAAAGTCATACATTTAATTATGTGCACCTGCTGAAAAAGCCAACGACTATGTCAATTGGAAGCATGATGAAGTAACAAAAGCCCTTTGTCATGTGAAGCACAATACCAACAAAAAATCATGTGACCAATAATCAAACATCAAAATTTGAGTATCTGATCAAACTGAAAAGTCAAATATTCCTGAATACACAATTCTGTGTAAAACAATAACAAGTCTCAGTAGTGCTGAGTCATCCATGTGATGGATGGTTGCCAAGTGCCAGGAGCTTGCACTATTATTATCAAGGGAAGATTGTTCCACTCCTTTGCAAAAATGTTGTTGAGCTGATTTAGTATTCCTACAAGGACAGGGTGCCCCAGGGTATCAAAGTCTTTATTTGTTTGTATGTTTTTATGATACATTCTATCATCAAACTTGATCCTTAGCAAACTTGTGAGTAGTATACTTGACTTTTAGTAACATGCGCTACAAGATACAGTCATAAATATGAAGTCATACACTCTTCCGGTGGTGTTTGGTCTTGTGCATAGAGCGCAGGTCACAAGTCGGGTAAAGATAAGCAACGTCCTTGGCACAGAGCGTCCTTGGATGGGTGACCGTGTTTGGCAGCTTGACTCCTGAGAGTATGTTTTTAGGACATTTGTCATGCCCCACAACGAAGCACTTATGTGGTCACACCTTAGGCAAGTGAGTTTGTTCAAAATTGCCTCTGTTCACCCAGCAGAAAAATGGATACCCGGTGGTATAAGTCATATGACTATTAACTGTGTAGCACCTCACAGGCAGCTTGGGTTATCTGGGGTAATAATGTCCATAGTGCTCAGGGCCCTCGCCCCCTCTACCCGCAGCCCAGACAGCGAATGGGACTTCTCCCAGGAAACACTGCCTAGTTGAACCCACCAAGAACTTTCCGGAAAATATGAAGGTTCCCCAACACTGCAGCCTTCTGCATTACCCAGAGGGTCAGAAGGGCTGTGCTCTCGGTGGAGAGCCCGGGCACTCTCCTGATCTGCCCCAAGAGATCAGGAGGTACCAAACCAAGGGCGCCGAGAACAATGGGGAGCCTGACGACATTGTACTTGGGATGCAAGCGAGACATTTCAATGGCGAGATCCGCATATTTATCATGCTTTTCCTGAATCTTGCCAATCACATTGCTGTCAAAAGGGATAGAAAATTCAATGATATAAATAAATTCATTGGCTTTATCAAAAAGGACAAGATCAGGTTTGTTGGCTGGAATTCTTCTCAGGCTGTATATGGGCCTATTCCAGAGAAGTTTAAAGCTGTCATTTTCCATGACGCCCTGGACATGTTTAGGGTCGTACCATGGATGGACATTGGAGTCAAAGCCACTGGCATGGCAGACACGGTAGTAAAAGCAATGAGCCATGCCATCATGTGTTTTAAGATATGGTGTTTGTGCCAAAGAAAGGCATCCACTGACAAGGTGTTGGACAGTCTCATTACACAATCGACATTTCGTGTCAATATTTTCTTTAAGAATCACATTTAGGCGATTGCAAGTGGGAAGTGACTGGTCCTGGGCAGCAAAAAGAAAGCCCTCAGTTTCACTTCATCCAGGGAAGGAGTCCGTTGGATTGCTATTCTGTTCCACACACTGCATGTACACACGATGCAATGGCTTCTCAGAAAAGCTTCTCCACAAATGACTGACTCTAGGAAGACTTAGTGAAGGACTTCACCTGGTTTACTCCTATCGCTTCACCGTCCAGCAGTACATTGCCATCAGGGCTGTGCAATATTACTGGTAAACCGGTATATACTGGTACAGTATCTAGCGATACGATTATCGCGATATGGTTCGAGTTCTGCACTATATTGGGTCATCCAGAGTTAGCTCTCTTTGAATTATCTGCCCTTATTTCCATAACAACAAAATGTGCTCTAACAGTGCCAAATATACTTTTATTTCTGTTGGTTTCATGTAACATTTTACAAGTGGAAGTGTCTTTAAGTGGCACCAAAAGTGCCAAATATTCTACCAAATGATTTAAGTTTTGTGGGTTTGAATGGTTTCATATGTGATGTTTTTGAGGAATTAATTTGCTTCTAATGGACCAATCTTTTAATAAAAGCAGGATTATGGTTTGTCACGATGTCAACTTCTTGTTGTGAATAACATGACGTTTCGGAGTGTATGCTTGCTCCTTCATCATATATTTTGTAGGACTGTATAATGACATTCTAGTCAAGGATCTTAGTTATTGGAGGTCACATGAGATTTTAAGCTCAAGCAGTTCACCTAAATCATGTTTTTGTTTCAGTTTGCAATAGTTTAAATTGGCGTTAAATCTGAATAAATCACTGACATACAGAAACAATTATAATTACATACTGCATTGAAGTGCATTCTGTTGAAGCAAACAACACTAACCATAAAAATCATGTTATACTATTACCTTTATCATTATGTTTGCAAAACATTGTTGTAATACAGTACTTCAATTAACATTCTACATTAAGGCTCTATATCATTTTATTTACCTATATATAAACCATTGGCATACAGCCGTACACAATGGGGACGGGGAACCTGAAAGTATGGTGTAACAGCAACTAAGAAGATGATGTCACACACAGAGAGCTATTATGAATTTTTTTATGTACGCTCTTGGACAGAAACCTTCCAGTCAATATATCACAATATGTATTGCAATATCTCTTAAATTATTGCAATATATCGCAATATGAGAATCAGGGCAGTATCCAGCCCTAACTGCCATCAATAAAATCAATCTCAAATTTCAGATTCCAACCAATGACCTTGGCATGCTTAAAATCTCTGTGGAATTCCTTGCTTTCAGCATGAGTCTCGACATGTATCACCAGAGGATCATCCGATAAATAAATATATGCAAAAGTACACAAACCCCGACCACCAGAATTGATTGGCATATATAAATGATTGAAAAAGGAACGAGGGTGGTGGGCTCTGTCATCAGATGTGATTCTTCTGGTCAGGCTGTAAAGACTCTGGGTGTCTTGTTTCGTCCAATCAACTACTCCAAAGGAATAGGAAAGGACTGGCACAGCAAAAGTATTGGTGGCTTTGACCTTGTTTCAAGCATTTAGCTCTGAGCTCAAGATTTTCTTTAAGCAAGTTTTATACTCAGCACAAAGTTGGTCTTGAAAATGGGCATTCTGGAGCTTGTCTCGAACTTGCATTCCAAGATAGGTGTAGGCCTGATCTTCCACAAGATGCTCAATAATTCCTCCCCCTTGTAACTTGACCGATCCATCATTAATTATCTTGCCACGTTTCAAATGAAGAGTATTATATTTGTCAAGCCCCAAATTTCATGCCAATATCTATAGAAAGGGGTCGACAAGGAGATCCTGTTCTTTCAAATTGGTATCTCCTTTGGCAAGGAGCTCGATGTCATCCATGTGAAGGATATGAGTAAGCAGTGTTGGGGATATGTGCTGAGGAGGTCTGGGATGGTAACCCTCCCCTTTATTGAGCAGGAAGCTCAAAGGAGCTAAAGACAAACAGAAAAGCAAAGGACTAAAGGAATCCCCCTGGAATATTCTCTTTCTGATTGGCATAGATTCTAAAGTCTGCACTTGCCCTTGTGGGTACATCTCAAGTTGAGTCGACCAGCAACTCATCAAAGACATAGTACATCAAGTAGTCACTCAGGGAGGTCATACAATGAAGAGACTTCAGAATCCATTCATGAGGGACAGAGTCGTATGCTGTTTTGTAGTCATTCCAGTACATGGAGAGGATGCGGTGATATGTTTTAGCCTCTTCCAAAATCATTTTCTGTACAAGAAGTTGATCCTTGCACCCCAACATCCCTTCCTTGCTCCCTTCTGTTCTGTATAAATTATGTCATTAGAAGAACAGGAAGATGACACAAGGTTTGTCAAACACCCTGTGAAGATTTGATATTGAGTATTCAAACAGGTGATAGGCTGGAAGTTTTTGTGATCAGTCAAGTCTCCTTTTTTGGGGAAGGAGGACTGTGCGCCCTTTGCAGAACCATGGAGGAACATCACCAGTGCCAACAAGAGAATTGAAACAGTGAAGTAATGGTGTTTGGACACAGGGGAAGAGATTCCAAAACCGGTTTTGAATGCCATAAGGCCCCTAAGCTGTATTTGATTTGGACTTTTTGATGACACTTTTCAGGCAATCTAGTGAGATGTAACAGACAAATGACCCAGTTATATTTTCATGCATTGTGTATTGTAATCATGGAACAATGGTGCCTCTAGGTTACGGTCTTATTATTATTGTGAATGAAACTGTTAATTAATCTCTTCTTGAGTAATTAGAGAATGACCCACGAGGTACGAGTGATTATGGGAAATATGTCCCGAGTGAAATTAATGTTCATTGTCCTGAGCTTTAGCAAGAGACTTGAACAATAATTTCACGAGGGATAAATATGTAATTTTCTGAGTAAAATTGATATTTCATACTTATCCTGACTCATGCTTTTTTGCTTGTCTTCTTCTTCTTTGCGAACATAGTGGAACACTTGCCTTCAATGTAAAATCACTAATTAGTACTCACCACGAGTTATCCCTTTCCTCGCAAGCGCGGGAATGAGGGCGCCACCTCCCACCATGTGCCTCACTCTCTCCTTATGTAGCGAGCCCAACACTTGAATTTACAGGGAAATCCAAAGTGTTATGTGGGGAGGACGGGAGGGCTTACCTCATGAGTCAGGATACGTATAAAATATCAATTTTACTCAGAAAATTACATATTTTTCCTTATCCTGACTCATGCTTTTTTGCTTG